TGCAAACTCCACCTCCTAGGCTCAAGCAATCCTCCGCCTCAGTCTCCCGAGTAGCTGGGACTACAGGCATGTGCCACCATGCCTGGCTAATTTTTTGTATTTTTTGTAGACACAGGGTTTTGCCATGTTGCTCAGGCTGGTCTCAAACTCCTGGACTCAAGCCATCCTCCTGCCTCAGCCTCCAAAAGTGCTGGGATTTCAGGTGTAAGCCACCACACCCAGCCAGTTCTAATTCTTATCAATTCAGAAAACCCTGGTTCCCATGGGTTTTCTTCCTGAAAAGAAACTCAGAAGGAAGTGGTTAGTTGGATTAGCTACAGTCTTCATCACTGGAATTGGTCTCAGGGCTGAAATGTTCTCTTCTTTTCTGTTCATTACTTATCTAAAATTACAACTATCAACACAGCAGACCTGGTAGGTCCCTGGGTTTGAGAAGCTCAAACGTCCTTGCAGCAGCTGTAGCTTATTCAGTAGGATCCTTGTTGTGTGCTCCTGGGGCACTGGACCTCCAACCCTACAAAGTCCAGAACCATGTAGAGAGGAAACACAAAATCTCCCAGTAGGTTATGGGAGAGTTTGGGTGAGTTGGGCCACTCCTGCTTCAAATCTGTTTCCCAGACTCATGTGTTCTTTCTGTTGGGAGCACAGTACCAGAAAAAGTATCCAAATTGATGTATGGCTTCCCAAAGGATGGTGCCATCCTTTCAGAGCATCTTCTCCACGCTGCTGCTTCAGCTGAGCCTCTAGGAGGCCAGTGCAGAGTTGCATGAGGCTGGCTGCTACAATACAGGCACCAGTGGGTCCCACTAGGATGCTGCTGTGTGAGGATTCATGCCTCTGAATGAAGCAACCTAAGCCCCAGGCAGTGGTGTGGGCTGAGGCTCTGTAGGAAAGGCCAGCTGGTACCTGAAATAGGCGTCCATCCGTGTGAGAACAAACGGCCAGTCTTTCCAGGATAGAAAGGGCATGATGGCGTCCACCCTGTTATGGACAATATGCCAGAGGTGGCAGCTGCCAGGCAGGCCCTGGTAAGGGAGTTCATGCTCCTCCTCCTGCCTCGGCCTCCCAATGTGCTGGAATTACAGGCATGAACCACTGCGCCCGGCAACATGAGACCCAGGGTGAAGGAGGTCTTCCATATGGAATCTTCATTTTTGTCACCAGGGTCACCCCTTTCACGCTCCAGAGTGGCTGGCGGTGAGGACTGGTGTCCACCGGTGAGTGATTTCGTCTGCTTGGCTGCTCAGTGCCTCATGTGCTGGATGCCTTGGTGGGCAGATATGTGCGAACACCTTCCCACTCTGTGCCCTCCTGTGTGTTCACCACTGCTTCAACCCAGACCTCGTCTGCAGGCTCCTTTTCCTTCTGGCCCCCACAGAAGGTGGGGACACAAGGCCACTGCCCAGAAGTCTGGGCATTCTCACCTCAGGCCACTTCTGTTTGCAGACATGGGGTGGCCGGGCATGCTGCCTGCAGTTCTGCCCACTGGGAAGGTTTTCCTTCCCATCCTTGAGAGTGGCAGTAATACAGCTGCTGCTGCCTATTTCACGTGTGCCATGCACTGAGCCCATCCATCTACAAATCACCCTCCGTCAGCCACGCAGGAACCCGCTGCAGCTATAGACTTGAGCTGCACATCACGTGTGCCATGTACAGCCATAGGCTTGAGCTGAGGGAGGCACGTGGGTTGGGCTGCCTGCTCCCTCATCTCACTCTGGCGCTCTGGCCCTGTGTGGATACCATCCTGGCCATGCCCTTGCCACATTCTGATGGATGCTGCTGGGCTGCCTGACGTCACGCCTGGGGAGGCCTGACAGAGCTCAGCTCATACTGGAAGCGTGTGTGGATGCAGGGCCATTTGAGGTCCCATAGACAAGTGTTCTATTCTCTGCTGCAGGCGGTACAGCCTTGCTCCGGGATCCAGCCATCCTTGCACCTTTCAAATGCCTGCATCATTGTCCCTTGCACAGACTCCTTTCTGCTGAGACATTTTCCCAGGTCACAAGGGAAAGCTTAGTAGTGGAGCCTCACCTTGTGCCAGGGACTGTCAGTGCCCCACCTCCTAATCAGAACAGTACCCTCTTCACCTGCAGATGGTGGGTGGGCCAGTCCCAAATGTCCGTCTGATCACTGGTTTTCTCAAGCTGCTTTTGGCTCATTTATGTTGGTCTGGGTCCTCCAAGAAGAAGACGTCAAGATAGGATTAAGGATGCAAACGTCTTGTTCAGAGAAATGCCTGGGATAGAAAATAGTGAGGTAACCAGGAAGATGGAGGAGCCATCAGATGGCTTCAAGCTTGACACCCAGCAGAGAGAAGTTTGGGTGGAAGTGTCTCGGGCAGCTGTGCAGTGATGTCTTCCCACCACAGCTGACAGTTGGAGAATGGCATTAGTTTATGCATTAATGGTGTTATCTTAGATCATTTGGCCAGGGTGCTGTTTGCCTGGTTTGTCTCCTGTGAAGCTACCTTATTCCCTTTTGTAATTAATAATAATTACACTGCATGGTGATGTTTTGACACTGTGTAAATATCCTGAGCCTCAGGCCCTGGAGACACCTGGCTTTCGCAAGTGTTGGTGCTTCTTGCCCGAGTTACCACCACGGTATCTGCTGTGGCTGACTGAGGATGCCACAGGTTCTTTGGCATCCCTCCCGTTGAGAGCAGGAGCAATGTCTTCTTGAATCTGGGCAGGCTCTGTCACTGCTTTGACCAAGAGAATGATGATAATTTGAGAAACATTTTCCATAAGGACTGCATATAAACATTAAACTTCAGGGTCCTGAAAGTCCAGGGGATGGAAAGGCTGTTCTAGATTGAAGGAGACAAGAAATAGGACAAGTGAGTGCAACTCATGACCCTCGGCCGAGTCCTCATGCTCTGAAGGATAGCTCCGCAGTGAGCAGGTCACACAAACCTACCCCCAAAGGCCGAGGGAGCTGAGAGGTTGAAAAAAGAGGCTGACAAATGCAGTTTCTCGGAAAGAAACATTTAATAGAGACTTATGAACAGAAGTAGTATCTCGGGCAGCCACAAGACAGTGGATCCCTGCACCTGCCCTCCAGAAAGCATCCTTTATATAGCAAGATTTTTGGTAAAAACGTGCAGCTGGTGATGCCTCAGACTTTCTTGCAGAATTCCTGACTGCTGGGGAAGTTAGGTAAGCATCTTTCTGAGGGGTTATCAACGCTACAGGCCTTGTGTGAAGACCTTGGTACGCAGGAGTCTAACATCAGCCACCACAGTGATTTTGCTTCAAGATGACACCACTCTTGCCAGGCAACAGGGTGTTTTCCTTCAGAGACATTGCAGGGACACCTGGTGACCCTTGAATGGGGGTCTCTGGGAAGGTGCACTATTCATGCAACCTTTTATCTAAGCTTGAAATTGTTTCAAGCTAAATTAACTTACAAATGTTGATCATAGTAAGGAAGGAGACCACCACTTCTCATGCTGCCCTCCTCTCCCCCTGTCTTGACTAGTTTAAAAGACAGGAGAAGAGGGAAAAAACAAAAAGAAAGAAACAGAAGATAAATAGCCAGATGACCTTGGCACGATCACCCAGCCCTGGTGGTTAAAAATAATATAATAATAATATCAACCTCTAACCTGCACTGTTTGTGTTATCTGTAAATTCCAGACATTGCATAAGAAAGCACTGTAAAACTTTCTGTTCTGTTAGTTGATGCATGTAGCCCCCAGTCACGTTCTCCACGCTTGCCCGATCTATTATAATAACCCTTTCACGTGGACCCTTTAGAGTTGTAAGCCCTTAAAAGGGCCAATAATTTCTTTTTCAAGGAGCTTGGCTCTTCAGACACAAGTCTGCTGAAGCTCCCGGCCCAATAAAACCCCTTCTTTCTTTAACCCGGTGTCTGAGAAGTTCTGTCTGCAGGTTGTCCTGCTACAATAGGATGAGAGTTCTCCAGGCACTCTGGCCTTTGGGTGGGAACTGTCTCCAAAACTCACCCCCAGGTTCCTGGCTCTCCTTACTTCTGGGGGCGGGGGGGTCTGCCATGTAACCACTGCTCTGACCTCACAAATGATAGCACTTCACATTTTTGCTTCAGATATTTTAAAGGGAAATAACACCTTACAGATGCAGTCTCTTTCTAAACTTCCCAGATCCATTCCCTTTAAACAATCCTCCCTCAGCATGGTTTTTAGACTTGATTTGTTTTGTTTTGTTTTAGGAATGGAGTCTTGCCATGTTCCCCAGGCTGGTCTCAAATTCCTGGACTCAAGCGGTCTTCACTCTGCCTCTCAAGTAGCTGGGCCTATAGGCTGCCCTCACCTCCTGCTGTGAGGCCAGTTCCTAACAGGCCACTGAACTGTAGTGGTCCATAGCCTGAGGGTTGGGGACCCCTGCTATAGGTGCACACCACCACACCTGGTTTTTTAAAAATTTTTGTAAAAATGAAGCCTTGATATGTCGCCCAGGCTGGTCTTGAACTACTAGCCTCAAGTGGTCCTCCCACCTAGTCCTCATAAAGTACTGGGATTATAGGCATGAGCCACCACACCCAGTCTCCACTCCTATTTGTTACTGAACACTATTCCATTGTATGGCTGATGTGGTTTGCATCTGTGTCCCCGCCCAAATCTCATGCTGAAAGGTAATCCCCAGTGCTGGAGGTGGGGCCTGGTGGGAGGTGATCGGATCGCGGGGGTGGCTTTTCAGGAATGGTTCACTGCCATACCCTTAAGTTATGTGTTCATGATAGAGTTCTCCTGAGATCTGGCTGCCCGCCTCGGCCTCCCAAAGTGCTGGTATTACAGGCGGGAGCCACCGCGCCCAGCCTGTCATTTTTATTATAACCCTTCTAATGGTATGAAATGGTACCTCCCTGTGGCTTCAATTCGCATTTCTCTAATAGCCAACGATGCTGAAGGCTTCAAGTACCCATTACTCACTTTGTATCTTCCTTGATGTCCACTCAAATCTTCTGCCCATTTAATTAGGTTGTTTCCCTTCTTTTCAGTCTAAAAAAAAAAAAGTTTTATTGGGCTATAATTCACATACCATATAAATTCACCCATTTTATACAATTCAATGATTTTGGCACATTATTTTTCACTATAGTAAAATACATGTTAAATAAACGTACGGGAGGCCATTGTTTCGGACCAAGCTCCTGCACTAGGGCCCAACAGAGCAGCCCAAGGCGGAACGGAGTCACCCGCGCCGGCCGCCACCCGACCGGAGGGGAAACGGGGCAGCTCTCAAAACCCTGGCGGCGCAGACCGTGCACGCGGGACAGGGACGCCCGCTCGGCTCCGCTCCGCGCTGATCCGCAAGGTCCCGTTCCCCGCCGCCCACCCGGAGCCGACGAAAGCCAGCGAGCGCCTCAGCCTCAGGTGACTGGAATTCTGACCCCGACCACGGGAGGCGTCTCCCGCTTTACCCTCCTCCGCGCGAGCTGGGAGGGAGACGCGGGCCCAGGCTGCAGTTTCTACCTCAGAAACGGAAACAAAACACCGCCTTCTGTTTCCCTTTTCCTCGGGGGGAAAAAAAAAAAAAACCGTCGAATCCCAGGCCTGGGACCCCGCCGCGGCGACCCCCGACTCACCCGGGCGGGGAGGGGGCGGGGCCTGGCGCGGCCTCGGCTCCGCCCCTCGGGCCAGCTGACCACAGTGGGGCGGTCCTTGCTGCTTTCCTAGAGCGACCCGGAAGTGGCCCTTGGGGCGCTTCCGGGGACCCGGCCGGCTTTTGGCTGCATCAGCTGGGGATCGCCGGCACCAGGTGCTGGGGGCGACTGGGACCGCGGGAGCGTGGGGTGGAGCGGGTGGAGTCTCCCTCCCGGGCTGGGGGTGCGGGCCTAGGAAAGGCTGCTTCGCCGCTGTGTCCGGGGAGCTCTCCATACTGCGGGGTTTTTCCGCGGAGGAGCGCCCGCCGGTAGGTTGAGCCCGAACCGTGGGGGCGGCGACGGGCGCTCAACTCTGTGTACCAAGGCCCCCGCGCCCCTATCAGAGCCGCGGGTACGGAGTCGGGGTGCGAACCCGGCCTGCCAAGCCGCGTGACCGGAAGCGGACGCCCCGGAGGCCTTCCCGGATGGCCCTTTGGAGTGGGAAGGCGCTGCTGGTGCTGGCGGGGCGGTGAAGGAGTTGCCAGTGGGTGGTCGTTGACTTTCAGGGAGAATAGAGGCGCCGTGAAGCCCCTGAGGAGCTCCCTGGGCTCCCCCAGCGCTGTGCAGTGGCCTGACAAGTGCCTTGAGGACAGGAGCTGTGCCCCGCCGAGCTCTGCTCCAGCCCCTGTTGTGCTGAGGTGAACAGGTGCTTGTGCTGCTGCGCTGCCCCATCAGGTGCGTCGGCACCCTCTTTAGATGCGGCACTTGCCTCTGTTGCCACCCGTTGCTCAGCGCCTCCAGCCCGGGGGTTGAGGGCTGTGGTGGAAACCGCTGGGACTTCTGAATAGACAGGTCTAGGCTCCAGTCCTTGATTTTGGCAGCTGTGTTTACAGCTTTGATTTCTTTTTACTTTTCTTTTCTTCCTCCCTCCCTCCCTCCCCCCTCTCCCTCCCTTCCTTCCGTGCTTCCTTCCTCACAGCATCTCGCTCTGTTGTCCAGGCTGGAGTGCAGTGGCTCGATTTCGCCTCACTGCAGCCACAACCTCCTGGGTCCAAGGGATCCTCTGTCCTCAGCCTTCTGAGTAGCTGGGACTACAGACGTGCACCACCACGCCTGGCTGGTTTTTAAAATTTTTTGTAGAAACAGGGCCTTGCTATGATGCCCAGGTTGGTCTCCAACTCCTGGGCTCAAGCAATCCGCTGGCCTCACCCTCACAAAGTGCTGAGATTTCAGGCTTGAGCCACTGCACCTGGCCTAGAGCCTTATCTCCCTGTCAGGTGAAAATGCTATTTCTTCTTGCCCGCTGTTGTAAAGGATTCAAGGTTGAATAGTTAAATGGTCTCAGTGTGGTCCGTGGCGCCAGCTGCCTGTGTCCCTATGTTCCCTGGACCTTTCCCCTAGTTCATTCTTTCATCTGTTAACTTACTTGGAGAACTTGTGCTGTTTCCTGGTCCTCCTCCCTGCTCCGCCACTTCTCTGCCAATTCCTGCTTGCCCTTCATGCCTTAGATGTCACTTCCTCAGGGAGGCCTCCGCTCCTCCTGGGACTGTCATGGACCCCTCTGCCACCTGCTCCCAGGGCCACCACCCCAGCACTGACTGTCATTGGTAGTTCACACTGTCAGCATCCTGATGATGGGGACCATATCAACCCTCACTCGCTGGCCCCAAGGACGTCAGAGTCACTGGTCTTCTCCCCCTGCCCCACTCTAGGCATCTGCATCTGGGACCGACCTCCTGGGCTGGCTAATCAAGGAAGAAGCAGCAGCAATGTCTGCTGTGGGGGCTGCAGCTCCGTACCTGCATCATCCTAGTGATAGTCACAGTGGCCGAGTGAGTTTCTTGGGGGCCCAGCTTCCTCCAGAGGTGGCAGCAATGGCCCGACTACTAGGCAACCTAGACAGGAGCACGTTCAGAAAATTGCTGAAGCTTGTGGTCAGCAGCCTGCAAGGGGAGGACTGCCGAGAGGCTGTGCAGCGTCTTCGGGTCAGCGCCGACCTGCCGGAGGAGCGGCTGGGTGCCCTGTTGGCAGGCATGCACACGCTGCTCCAGCAAGCCCTCCGTCTGCCCCCTGCCAGCCTGAAGCCTGACACCTTCAGGGACCAGCTCCAGGAGCTCTGCATCCCCCAAGACCTGGTCGGGGACTTGGCCAGCGTGGTATTTGGGAGCCAGCGGCCCCTCCTTGATTGCGTGGCCCAGCAGCAGGGGGCCTGGCTGCCCCATGTTGCTGACTTTCGGTGGCGGGTGGATGTAGCAATCTCTACCAGTGCCCTGGCTCGCTCCCTGCAGCCCAGCGTCCTGATGCAGCTGAAGCTTTCAGATGGGTCAGCATACCGCTTCGAGGTCCCCACAGCCAAATTCCAGGAGCTGCGGTACAGCGTGGCTCTGGTCCTGAGGGAGATGGCAGATCTGGAGAAGAGGTGTGAGCGCAGACTGCAGGACTGACCCCTCACTTGGCCAGTCCCATTCAGGTCAGGCTTGGACAGGCACCTGAGATGGTGCCAAAGTGCAGCTGACTCTTCCCAGGACAGCTCTGTCCTTGCCATGAGGCAGGCTCTTAAGTGAGAGTGTTTGAACGTAATTATGTAGTTTTCTGTTTAATTGAAAAAGAGAGCTATGCCTTTTTTTCTTTTTTTGAAGTAAAGCAGCTGTAAACAACATGTTTCTCTAGGTGGGTGTTGAACCTCACACCCTCCCTTTCCCTGTACATTTGTCTTTGCTGCTGGGCGTGGCTATGTGGCCAGGTTGAGGCCCTTTGTAGACACCATACAGTTGCTCAGCCTGGCCCCATGTAGCCAGGTGCTTTTGTAGATCTTGTATTTTAGGTTGGGCATTTTCATTCTTCTGCCTTAAATCCCTGACCCCACCGAGCCGACATTCTAGTGGGGCTGAGGGGAGGGGAAACATTGTAAAATAAATAATAAAAATTTACTGGAATAGCTTGTCAGAGGATGGGATGGGATGCAGCAAATAGGGTGGGGTCTGCGTGCTGATGGGGTAACCTTACTTGAGGGTGTGACATCTGAGCGAGGACTTGAAGGAGTGAGGGGCACAGCGCTCTGAGGGGGGCAGCACAAGGTAAGGAGGACGGTGCACAGGCGGCCAGCGTGGGGAGGCCTAACGTGCTTAAGGCCTGCCTGGCTGCAGCCCAGTAGGTGGTGATCACTGGGGGGAGGTGACGTTGGGGAGGGTACAGAGGTCAGGGCACTAGGGCCTTTTAAAGACTTTGGCTCAGTTGTGAGTGACAGAGGAGCCCTTTTGAGGGTTTCAGCAAAGGAGAGACATGATCTGGTGACTGGCTGCTGTGTGGAGGGGCGCAAGGGAGGAGGCTAGAGCCTGGCAGAGAGGCTGTCACCAGGGTGGACTTGGTGTCAGGGACCTCTCCCGGGTGCCTCTAGGGTGGGTGTGTGCAGGGGTTGTCGCCAGCTTTGCAGCTTCCAGCATAACTGTGTTCCAGGAGGGGCCTTGGGGCTCAGTCTTTGCAAAGCCATTTTCGGTCAGCTGGGTTCCAGCTGACTGCCCCTGCCTTCATGGAGCACTTCTGGCCATGTCTGGTCTGTTCTCTGCCGAGAAACCTCCCCTTGTCTTTGAGTGCCTGGGGTTGCTTGGCTGTTTGTCTTGTCTGCAGTTTTTGGTTTGTCTCCTCCACTAGCCTGGATTTCTTCCTCATCCTCCATGGGCAGTTCTGACATGTCGGGGTGCAGAGGAGTACCTGGGGGCGGGGTCAGCAGACTCTGGGAGGGGCCCAGGTGCCCTCTAAGGCGCATGCTTGTGGCTTCTGCCATCTGGTCGTTCACTCGACTTCGTCCCACCCTCACTGAGTTCCAGGTACAGCCCTCCTGTCTCCCCAAAGGCACTGTCCCTACCACTGTCTTCGGGTCAGGAATATGACCAGCCACTTCCTGCATTCTCCGTCACCAGATGTGGATGTGGCTGGGGCTGCGGCAGCTGAGACCATGTTGCCTTTCTCACTCACCGGCCCTGGCCCTGCAGGGACAGCAGCTTTAGGGACAGCCCCATCCTTCTTCTCCCAGCTGCTTTGCAAAGCCTGTGTGGAGTCCAGAGCACAGACCTGCCCTCGGTCCTCAGGCTGACCTCTCACCGTCTCTCATTGGGAATCTGTGTTTACCTCAATTCATCTGTGAACCCTTGGGCTTGTCTCAAGCAGGGGCCCAGGCAAACCAAGACACAGCCATGAAAAGACAGCTTGTGAGACACAGGCAGGGGAGTGGGCCATTCCCGGGACTGGGGCTGGCACTGCCTGAGTGCAGGGGAGTGAGGGACAGAGAGGGCAAGTGCAGGGACAGCAGCTGGCCTCAAGGCCACACACAGGATTTTGGTCATTCCAATGGGGCAAGGGGCCGGTGGGGTTTTAATCAGGACAGACATGATCCAATTGGACTTGAGATCCCTGCAGACTTAGAGGCCACTTCCTCTGGCTCAGCAGTGAACACACTCTTCCCACAAAGGGCAAGAGAGTAAACATTTTAGATTTTGTGGGCCATGAAGTTTCTGTCCACCCTGCCATGGTGGCTTGAAAGCAGTCACACAATACATAAACAAATAGATATGGCTGTGTTCCAATACCATCTTTTTTTTGAGACGGGAGTTCCACTCTTGTTGCCCAGGCTGGTGTGCAATGGCACGATCTCGACTCACTGCAACCTCTGCCTCCCAGGTTCAAGCAATTCTCCTGCCTCAGCCTCCCAAACAGCTGGGATTATAGACGCCTACCACCACGCCCAGCTAATTTTTGTATTTTTGGTAGAGACAGGGTTTCACCATGTTGGCCAGGCTGGTCTTGAACTCCTGACCTCAGGTGATCCGCCCACCTCAGCCTCCCAAAGTGCTGTATTACAGGCATGAGCCACTAAGCCTGGCCTCCAATAACATTTTTTTAATGGATATTGAAATTTTCCCTTTTTTTGAGACAAGGTCTCCCCGCCATCCAGTCTGGAATGCAGTGGCACAATCATGGCTCACTGTAGCCTCAACCTCCTGGGCTCACAGGCACACCACACCACACCCGGCTAATTTTCGTATTTTATGGGGAGATGGGGTTTCATCATGTTGCCCAGGCTGGTCTTGAATTCCTGGGCTCTGGGGTTCTGCCCACCTCGGCCTCCCAAAGTGCTGGTATTACAGCAATGAGACACCGCACCCAGTCATGAAATTTTAATTTCATGTGTCACAAAGTATTTTTTTTCCATTTAAAAACCATTCTTAGGCCAGGCATGGTTGGGGCCAACCCCATGAGCCCACTGGACCCCTCCAATGCAGAGCACCTGTCCATCCTTGTCAGTGGTCAGTCTCCATTGGACCTGGACTCCAGGGCAGGGGCTGGCTCTGTCCATCTTTGTCCCCATGGTTTGCGCAAGGCCGTGCATAGAGAACAGATGTCTGCATCTGGGAAATTACTCCCTTGGTTTTCTTGGCCTTAGCTCTCTGTGGAAACTTGCTGGCGAGTTCCCTCTCCTGCGGCACTGTCCTGAGCTCAAAGCCTGGATACCTCCCCGGCTGCATCACTCATTCATTCAGCAAACATTTCTGGGGCTCTGAGTCAAGCTGCACGCACTGGGAACTTGAGGATTTATAAAATGGCCTGGGCCCAGCCCTTGCTCTGCTCCACTTTGTGAAGCTTCCAGAAAGCTCCAAATAGTTTCAATTCAGAGTCATAAATTGAAGACTATTCTGATAGTTGAGATAAAAAGCAATTCCAGACCTAGGTTATAATTTATTGTCTCCAAAACAGAAACCCAAAATGTTTTCATTTATTTATATATTGTGGAGACGGCCTCACTCTGTCCCACAGGCTGGAGTGCAGTGGTGCGATCACAGCTCACTGCAGCCTCCCAACTCCTGGGCTCATGTGAGCCTTCCTTGGCCCCCCAAAGGGCTGGGATTACAGGCGTGAGCCACCGCGCCTGGCCTGGAAACTCTTCAGCTGAGTTTCCTGAAGGCCAAATTGCACAATTGTGTGAGCAGGTCACAGGATAGTCCAGCACCTGCACTACCCCGAGCAGCCCCTCCTCTCCCTCTGCACAGAAGAACCAGAGCCTGTGTGCCGGGGCCGCCTGGCCTCCTCTCCCACTGCACAGGAGAACCACAGCCTGTGCGCCGGGGCCACCTGGCCTCCTCTCCCACTGCACAGAAGCGCCACAGCCTGTGCGCCG